TCGTAACCTTTTCGAACGTGCGCAGACAGACCGCTTCCTGCTGGAAATGCTGGACATGGGAGAGCTGCAGAAAGTTCGGGTGGAGCACGACAACTCTGGTCTAAAGCCCGGCTGGCTGCTGGATCGCGTGGAAGTCACTAACACGGCCAATGGTGTCACCACCATCTTCCTCTGTGGCAAGTGGCTGGACACTAAGAGAGCTGACAGGCAGATCGCCAGGGTCCTCTACCCAAAGTATTAGAAAAAAGTATTATTTATAAAATCTTCCCTCATGTTTAAAAGTAATGACCAAAGAGATTCTGCTCTTGCAAGTTTTATATCTCAGGAACTGAGACAGATTTTTACATTCGTAGTTTTTATTTTTTTTGATATTTAATACTACGGGGGAATATAACCTGTAATGAAATACTGTGACAGTATCTTCTTAGCTGAATGTGCCATTCTTTTTAATTTTCATATGTTGGTTTGTTCAGTTGCTTTGTTATAATGGAAGTTTTATAAAAGATTAAACTCTTTTGTAATACTCAGACACACCGTTTGCCTCTGCAGTTAATTGCAGCTTTACAGAGCGTTTAAGCTTTTTTTTACCTCATTGTTTTCGTTTTACAGCCCCACAACTTTACTGTTTTGGTTTACTTTCACCACCCACATCAAGCATTTATTTAGCAAAAAACCTCTGATAAATCCAGACAAACAGACACAGTGACTAGTTTGGGAAAAAAGTGGAGCATAGGCAGCTAAAAAGCCTAATATTTCCCTCAAAACAGAGCCAAAAGGAGAGTGAATGTAGGACTTAAATTCAACAGTTCCAAATGAATGCTGATGGGGCTCTGTGTCTGTTGGGTGTATGAAATTTGTATTTACCAAATAACAGCTTCTTAAGTGTCAAAGGGTCAAATTCTAACCACATTTTATCATTTGGGGTTGCTGACCATATTATACCAAAATATAACACACAAAAATAAGTACTTGTCCATTTTATCCAATTTATTACAAAAAGAGCACATACAAAAGGATAATATACAAGCCATGAAATAAAATTAAAAAACAAAAAAAAGAGTTTGGGTTTAGCAATGCAACTTTTGAAATCATTATCATTATTATTAGTAGTAATAATAAATAAAGTACAAAATTCCACCACATGTGAATCTAACATTTACCCATAATATGCTCATCCATTTCCTCATCAACACACTCATCACCATTAATGCGCTATTGCTTTAATATTAATGATAAATAGTTCTATTTTCAGATAAAATATCCTATATTGAAAAACATTGCGTAGTCACAGCTAAACAGCAGATTTTCATACAAGGATGGCGGCAGCCCTTTCACTGGCACTTTTTGGGATATTTTCTCTTCAGCTTTGTTTTTCAGTTTCAAACGGCAACAAAATGTTTTTCTGTTATATTCTTTGTATATATTTTCACCATATACTTTAAACCATTGAGACTATATTGAAACCTGAGAAAACATGCAGTTTTAGAAAAGGTTGTGCTTTAAAACCCTTGCCTTTCTTTTAGACTGTGAAAGGAAACAAAGGAGAGATTCTGAGAGGAGAGATGGACGGTAAAATAAAAAGTACGAGATAGAATATACAACAAAATAGAGAAAATAACTAAAGAAGAATTTCTGTAGTATTTGTAAAGCCCACAGTGAAACATGCCTCTCTATAGAACTATTTCCACAGTATGTAATGCTTCAGCACTACAAACCAACAACTATTTTGGACAGTTTGACTTAAATTTTGAGGATAATGGCTTTTATAGACACCTGTCAAATGTTGTCTTACCTCCCTTCATGACTCATTCTTTGAAATAATTATGCAACCAATAAGGCATGGTGGCTTCATGGACTGATTGTTCTTAATGGTTTCAGTAATATGGAAATATCTCCTAACATTTAAAGCGAGGCACTTGTTATGCTTAAGTCTACAAACAATTCTGGAAGAAGAACTGAAGAGAGACACCAGAGAGATGAAAATGAAAAGATAGATACAAAGAGTTAAAGCGAAGGAACATGCTTCACAGATGATCATTATTAAGACCCATAGTGCATTGTGAGAAGCAGAGGATAAAAAATGAAAGCCAGAGTCATAGTATTAAATTATCTAAACTAACTTTTTTTGCCAGTGAGAGGGTTCCCATATTTAAACAAATGAGTGCAAAAAAAATAATGACAAACTGAAACCAATTCACTTCATTGCAGTTTGTCCACTACATCACAGCATGGGGGATCAGAGAAATTGCATTGAATGGAATGTAACCAAGATCCACAGCACCACACGAGAGAGAGAGAAAGAGAGAGGGAGAAAGAGAGAGAGAGAGGGAGAAAGAGAGAGGGAGAAAGAGGGAGAAATAGAGAGAGAGAGAGGGAGAAAGAGAGAGAGAGGGCTCAGTAGCTCAGCCTTGGACAGTAAACATCGCACAGCCAGCTTGTGGAGAACAAACAGCAGGGCAATTTTTTTTTTCTTTAACTTTAGTTTTCCAAAAAGTACAACTGCATGCAAAGCATTCCCATTTAAAACAATGCTAAAATGAGGTAATAGTTTTTTCATAGCATTTTTGTGTTATTTCTAAATAAATAAATTATGATTCAGTCGTCCCCCAGAAAAACTATATAAAATTAAATACATACCCACAATATCTACAGTTAGTAATAAATTATGATTGTTAAATACTTAAGGCATCTCAACTGACAACACCCTGTGTAAACTATGAAAACTTCATCACAGATGACTCCACTACAGGAGGAGGCAGTGTCAACACTGGCAGTGCACAAGACAGGCAGAAGTAATCCTTGTTAATTGATCTCTTGGCCCAACAAGGCTAAAAGAGTCTCTGGGCCAAGTCTTATCCTTTACTATCACAGTGCATAGGACAGTGAGGGTCCTAAAGGCGTCTTTTACTACACAGCCCTGTGGAACTGAAATGATGCAAAGGGTAAAACAAAAAAAAGAAGAAGTAAAAACCGGTCAGGCCAAGTAGTGAGAGAGGGGGTCGACTTGTTTCAACAGCCTGAATGTTTTTCTGCTATTGTGCCGTCTCGTGTCTGTGTGCACTGCGAGAGGGAGGCTGCCTCCGTCACACCACGTTCTACATGTTCTAGCAATACAGCATAGCAACCAGCATAGCAACCACGAGGGGAGGTCTGTCACACAAATACACAAGATCAATACGCAAGCTTCTCTCTCTGCCGAAACACTGCATGAATCTATACCTAAATATAAACCAACGCAAATGCAATACCAAGGGAAAACCTTTTGTTGCTATATCTATTGTCACATGTGCTTGTTCTTTAGGCAATAAGGTAAACATCAAAAAGAGGATCCCATCGTTGCCACCAAAGGGGGACAGGATGAACACACGCTACAAGTCAGGGGAGCAGCCACTGACACAGTGCTAATTTTTTTTTCGCATTTGTAAGTGTTGAGAAGATAGTCACAGCTCAGATTAACTAAGTCATGCAAAGCCTTCTCTTTACCTTTTTAAATTGAAGAAACACTACCAAAGCTAACAGCTCAAGTCGATGATGAAACATGCATTTTTTTTTAGAACACACTGTTCTGCCACTGGCCCTGCGCCAGCTGAAGATGCAGGTACAAGGGCAGAAACATCTTCATCCCACCTCACTCTGCAGAGCGTGAGTTTCCTTTTTTTCATCCCTGTTTTTGGCTTTGTGTTTTATAAGCACTCCAGTGGCCATGCTATTAACAGACAGCGAGTTAACATCTTGGTGCTGCCTCAGACCCCTTGAAACACACTCACATTTGCACTTTTTGAACATCCACACATTTGTTAGACACATTCTTTTAAGTCACACACAGCAGGGCAGAGCACACACTGGTGAACCTGCACGTCAGGTTCAAGCTACACCGTAACAAAATGCATTTTGGTAAAAACACTTTCTACCTATTTTTTTATTTTATTTTAAACACACAACGACTTGATCACTGGGCTCTGTTTCCACGGCAGTGAAAGAGGCCTACTCACATCACGCCATCTCACATGACACCAGCCCAAGGTAAATGTACAACTGTATTGCACAATGTCAAAGCTGCATGATAGAATTAAAACACTCAGCTAGCTGGTGCTTGCCCCCCAAAAGGTGACAGTGCACCAGGTATCGTGTTGGTTACTGCTACTCTACTACGACCACAAATGATCTTTAGGTAAACATGGCATCAGAGCATTTCGTTTCTGTTAAGTTTTTCTTGTGTGGCAGAATATTAACTTTGAAGTGTATTTGAAAAGAGAGAAATTTATATAAATGTATATATATATATATATATATAGAAAGAGAGAGAGAGAGAGAGAGAAAAGAGAGAAGTAGCCCGCTCAGTGTGGGGTTATGTGTTTTCCAATCTCAGGACTTTAAGTCATGGCTTTAAGGACATGCTACACAGCCCGGGGCTACCTACAGTACAACACCACAACAGCAACAACACCCCACTTACGACCAGCAAGCTACGAGTAAACCCTGTGTACATGAGTATGTGTGTGTGTTTGCGTGTTGTTTGCCTCCAGAGGGATGTGCTTCTATTTAAAGAGAGTTCTTTGTGGCCTCTCGTGCAGTTAGTTATCCTGGCGTGGCTCAGTAAAGCGTGAGTCAGAAGGGTGGTGATGTCACATGAAGTCTGGAGACATTTGGCAAAGCACCCAACGGGGGGAAGGGGAGGGCGGTGGGGGGGCCGGAGTGGAAGAAAGCAGGAACCACATGAGGGTGATTGACAAGTTGTGGGGGGGTTTAAATCTCATCAGCTGTCAGGGTTCAGCTGTGTTTCGATGTCAACCCGACAGATTGGACACTTCCTGCTGGTGGCCAGCCATTGGTCTACGCAGCCCTGGTGGAAGAGGTGCATGCAGGGCAATCTCCTGGAGGACAGAGAGACAGAGAGACAGAGAGACAGAGACACACAGGGTCAATGTTGATTCACATTGGCAAGCTTGACTCTCCCGGTGCATACAGTTATGTGCTTGCAAAGAACTTCTGAAACCAGCAGGGAGTTAATTTTGTTCATTCAGGCACGCAGAGACGACTTCTGTTGAATCATCAATCCTGCACGCCTCTCAGACAGCTGAGACTACATATGCTGTAAACCGACCCCCTTTCCTCAACCCAGGGAACAGTTCTTATCCCCGGTGATTCACTCCCCAGCTTGGTTTTATATGCACGTGTAGGTGCACATGCTCATGTCATTGCTTAAAGGAATAGTTCAACATTTTGGAAAATATATATCTGTCATTACATATGAGAGCCAGCAGCTGGTTGGCTTAGCTTAGCACAAAGACTGGAAACAGGTGGAAACAGCTAGCGTACCTCTGTCCAAAGGACTGCCTGACAGCACCTCTAAAGATAACAAACTATTTAGTCAGTGACTGCATATCTTAGAACTGAACCAAATGATTGTAATCAGCAAAGTGATTTGTAATTTATACCTCTGAAGCTAACTGGTAAATATAAATCTACAGCCAGCAGCTGCAGATTTGTATCAATCTCTAACGCTCTGCCAGTAAGCAAATAACACTGTTTCCCAAAATGGCAAACTTTTGTTTTAAGCTTTCAAATGCTCCTCAAAAAAAGTGATGTTTTCGTGAAATGGTAGGATTCTACGTTTTCGTGAAATGGTAGGATTCTACCACTTCTGCAAAGCATTTCTGACCTGACATCCTCTCCGTCCTCCAGCATGGACAAACAGATTGTACATTTCTCATCCACATCCGTTTCCTCCTCCTCCCCAATCTTCAGATGCAGGGGCTTTCTCTGTTAGCAGGTCAGATTACAGAGAGACAAACGTTAGGGTCAAAAAAGCCGAATGTAAATATATTCAGTAGTTTATGTCTCCCTTATTAATCCTCAGTAATGACTGATATCTGCCCTACCTTCTTGTATTTGTGTGGAAAGGTGAATCTCTCAATGGTTGTCTGAACAGCTCCTCTGCTGACACTCCCCAGCCGGTCCTCCAGCTGCAACAGCTCCTGACGGAAAAGTGAGACATTCAATTGAGAACAGTACAGAGTAGCATAAAATAGATTACTGATAATAATACTAATAAATAGAACGGCGACTAAATGGACCTTGAGGTGAGAATAAAGCCCTAGCTTTGATAGATGGATGGGTGGAATGTGTATGAGATGTTTTTAGAGATAGATTTACCTCATAACTTTCTCGCACAGCGGTGGCGTGCCTTGAAGGATTGAGACTTTGCAGTGCCAACAGGTGCAGCTGGGGGTACGGGTAGTTTCTGATTTCATGCACGACCTAGCAAAAGAGAACTCTTCGTCATCACAGCAATGTTGTTCCTGTAGTCTAGCACAGTTTTTCGCCACTGTTTTGATGCATTTTTGAGAATACCGAAGATGATCCAAACACCAAAACTGTGTTTTCATTTGCACATACTAGTGTGTCCTTTTAAGTGTGACTTTATATTGATATACTGATATATTCTCAAATGGTGAATGAGCCCACATAACAGAAACAGATTTGTCTTCATTAGGAACAAGATTGAGAATACTGTGAGCAGGAGTAATCTGAACTCAGTGATGCATTAAATGTTTTGCAAACAGTGCTTTTTTCTGATAGTTGTGTGAAAAGTCATCATTGATAGTTAAAGGGGTGCTCCACCAATTTTAAACATCGAAGTCTGTTTACAGGTCTCTGGGAGTACTACTGCATGTGTGCATATGCTCTAGGGGGAGTTATAAAAGAATAAATAGCTTTTTTTCATAACATTCGTACATCGCTTTAGGCTGAAAACTAAAAGTTTGCAGATAAATAAAATCTGGGGGTGTGGAGTTAGAAAGAAGTGAGGTTACCAGACCTCCGTAGCCCACTCCTCTGCTAGCGACTCAAAATTAGCCACTACTAGCATTATAAAACAAAATCTCCTACTGAACTGTTGGTGGTCTGGTTGCATTGTAGGTAATGTAGGCACCAGGTAGGTTTTGACCAAGGAAAGAGAATGCGTGTAATAAAAAAAAGCTGGTATCTCTCGTTCTGTTGCATCAATTTCAATTTTTTTGAAAGCTATCTATCATGAGTCTGACATTGCTCCTATTGGAATGCAAAGCGAAATCGGTGGAGAAATTTTTCATCACTGCATTTGCAATCTTAGAACACAGTTGACAGAAGTGCATAAAATCAATGAAGAAAGGGCATAACTTATGGGTCAACATATCCATGGATCAGCACATAAAAATAAAACACTGGTTTTAAAACATCTTGCTTAGTAATAAATTCAGAAAAAAATGTCAGGGTGACCAACATACCACTTGTGCTGAGGACGTGTTCCTGGGGAAGTGGTGCATTCGAGGGGAGGCCAGGTAATGCTGATAGTGCTGTGGAAGCTGCTGGAGCTGGTACTGGTGGTGGGGGAGGCCAGCATCAACACTGAGATCCCTGCAGGCAGACAGGCGACTAAATCATCCCTCAACCATCATCACCCATGCTAGACAATGTGACAGACCGACAGATGGGTGCAGGGATGAAAGGATGGGATCATTTCTCCACTCTACAGGACTCTCGTTAATCTACAATAGTGACTCACCAGTCGGTGCCTTCGGCCAGATACCGCTGCTGCTGCTGTGTCATTGGCTGGGGAACATGAAGGGGAAGGGAGTACTCATAGCCTGAACGCAGTCGGTGAGGGTTCAGGGGAATACGCTCCTGCGTTCTTCTGGAATAAGATAGAAAATGTCTGACTTGGTTTTCTGTTAGTGTGTATCTGTACTTGCATGCTGGTAGTAGTTCTACCTGGTGTGCGGGAGAATCCTGCGGTGCTGCGCTTCGAGAAGCTGTTGCTGGATGAGGTATTGCTGGTGTAAGGCCTGAGGTAGGAATGGAGGCCCCGGCACATCCTGGAACTGAGGGGGTGCAGGCAGGGCAGTGAGAGGCGGATGGTGTGCCGGGGGCAGGTGGGTGGCCAGGCCGGTCTGAGGCGGCTGGCTGGCGTGTCCTAGAGGGAACTCTGCTGAGATGGTCGCCTGGGGAGCGCCCAGGTGAAAGTGTCGGCAGGAGGTAGCATGGCTGTGTTGATGTCTGGTGAAGTGTGCTCCTATGGGGAATAAATGCAAGTGATCAGAACTGAGCCAGATAAGCCTGACTCACTTTCATTCAAACAGACACCACACAGAGAGACCCAGACAAACCGGTGAAGAGGACGTTATGAAACACATGATTGAACACTTCTTGGCTTTCTCACGCACACTAACATACAAAAAGATTGAACAACCAATCACACAGAGAGAACATTTAAATAGGAGAGACATGACACAGGAAGAGACAAGACAAGACAGACAAAACAGCAGACGGAAGACACACTTTGAGACCCCTGTGGAGCACCATTTAAACCCACACAGAGATTGCACCCAATGGCCTGGCTCTCTACTTGCCAAAGTGCAGCCAGCAGGAAGGATGGATCTTCACTAACAGCCTGGTGTGTTTCCAATATGGTACAGCACTGTGGTCCACTGCTAGTCAATTTAATAGATTAAGGCTCTATATTATGTCTGCAATTTGAATGAACAAATATTCAACTGTAGATTTCTCATTAAAACCCTCAACAGCAACAACAAAAGATTATCCACCTCTATTCCTTCCTTCCCCCACCCTTCCCATCAGGGGTGGAGGAGACATGAGATTAAATGGTAGTTCCACTGAATCACCTCGGTATCGAGTTGCCCAAAACAATCAATACGAATTACTCTGAGCTCAGAGAAAGGAGGGCTGAAAGGAGGGTGAGGTGGGGACAAACAGTTACTACTTCAGCTTCCCATTACAACTTTCTAGCTTTCTGGAGCAGGAAACAGACGGCAGGGTCCGGAGGATGGACTCTGCACTGTTTTTAGTTCTGCTAGTATTGTGCCTTTGCATGGCCCAAGCAAATGTACAGTCCATTCAAATCATGTATATTAGAAGAAATAATTGTCTTATTTAATGTGGTGTCAACTGGTTCAAGCCAAGTCAGGCAGATTAAATCTGTAGGTGAAGTGATATTAGATATGTCTAATATGAAAAGGACAGAGGATTTGGATATTAGTTAATGGTTTGTGAGATATTTAGCATTTGCTCACAAATTTTTAGTTGATGGTTCACTGAGTTTAATTTACACATTAAGTTTTTTATGCAAACACAAAATCCTTTGAATATATGTGCATTTGTACATTTATTTAAAGGAATAGTAGACATTTTGGGAATACCTTTATTCGCTTTCTGCTTCTGAAAGTTAAAGAAGATTGATACCACTCTCATATCTGCCTGTTATCAGGATGCAGCCAGCAGCCGGTTAGCTTAGCTTAGTACAGGGACTGGAAACCGTGAAAAAGGCTAGCCTGACTCTGTCCAGCGATGACAAAATACGCCTACCAGCACCTCTAAAGCTCACCACCTAACATGTTGTATTTTGTTTGTTTTAGCTGTACAAAAACCAAGCATTTCATAGTCCGTTACATGGTGGACTATTTCTTGGCTTTGAGCAGTTGTCAGGCAACCAGCAGAGACCCCAGGGAGTTAATGGTCCCAGCCAAGAAATAGTCTGGGCACTTGGGCACTTTGGATTTTGTGTATTAAAAACACAAGCTATAATGTGTTAATTAGTGAGCTTTGCTTGCTGGTGGGCAGATTTTGTTACATTAGGAGACAGCCTTGCAAGCAGTTTCCTTCTGTTTCCAGGCTTTGTGCTAAGCTAAGGTAAGCTAACCGGCTGCTGGATGTATCCTTATATTTAAAGGACAAATATGAGTGTTATCAATCTTGTCATCTGAGTCACCACCAGAAAATAAATTTCCCAAAATGTCAAACTATCCCTGCAACTGCTGCGAATATGACATATTTTCATGGTTGTTGTTTTGCTACGTCCTTGGGACATGGGAAGCCAGTGAACCTTGAGGGCCACAAGCAAACTGAGAACATTTGGCTGAGGAAGTAGAGCAGAAATGTCAGACTAGTGGTTTGGATTGGTAAAGTGCTTTACACCACTTTTGTATAAACCCTGTGACTCAGTAAGACTGGATTCAATGTGAAGCTTAAGAGTCAATATCAAATTATCTGTCTCTGAGCTCATCCACAGCATGAACCGCTGACATTAACATTTTACATACTGCAGTGGTGCCAGCAGTAACAGTCCTGATGTTGTTATTGTTACATCTCTGCTTTGACTTTGACTTGCAGACATAAAACGCCTGATTGGTGCAGAACAGACCCCTACCCAACCACACACACACACACACACGTTCATACACTCCTATCTACCTCTTCTCACCCCTGAGCTGCTGCACAGGCAGCCCCTCCCCCACAGTGTGGCTGCGGCATGGTGTCCCTGTGTGAGTGACAGCACGTAAGCCCTGCCCAGCTGCGACTGCAGCAGTCTGACATCGAACCTGTCTCTCTCTACCTCACCCCTCCTCCCCATCACTGCAGCTTTACAATCACTCCTCCTCTCTAACATAATCCTATCTTCTGCCAAGTGAGGTGGTCTTCCATCCTGTGAAACTGTGAGCCGTGTGTATGCAGTTTTTCTCACTGAAAAACCATCAACACACCGGCTGATATCACTGATTAGCACACTCACAATCAGAGTGAGGCACTAATGAGTGAAATCAGCATGTGTGTTGAATAGCTGGACTGAAAATCTACATACAAATGGCTCTACATGGCACATGTTTGCACACCACGCACTGACCTTGATGCTAAATATCAGGCAAATCAGGACAGGGTCGAAGACAAAACATCTGATATTAGTGTGGTCTGTACCAGTGCAGCTACTGTGAAATAACATATGCATTACAGCCACTAAAAGTTATTTAAAAGTCTGTTTCTGTAGTCGGCTGAGAGTTGCTAAGCACACGCAGCTGTATCTCAGGCACACCTTTCACATAAATAACTCTGACTCTTTCAGACATTGTGAACAGATGCAAGGCTCACATAGCTAGAATAAAATGGCAAGAAGTACCAGACTTCAAAACTCTTAATTTGCTGAGTTGATATTTAAAATGTGCGCTTTAATACTTGACACCAGAGCCTGTGCTGTATGTTGTGACCAATGGCCCCGTTTTCAAACTCTTTACAGAAGCAAAGGCTTTTTAATCAATTGTTTAAAGTAAGAGCAACACCAACCAAGATGGGTACATTAAAAAAACAATTAACATTTAAAGGAAATATGATAAAATTATAAACCAAATAATTTTGTAAGTCTATTATAAACAATGAGAACATGATTAAAGACACGTGAAGTACAATATCATTACTATCTATTAACTAAAACTTCAACTCTAAGCTTTCAATTTAATATTGCTGACTTCCTGCAATAAACAATCAAAATCCTTATCTGCATTTGTAATGTAATGTTAGCTGAATTGGGTTTAGTTATGCTCTTGTCACAAGTCACCACGGTGCGACAGGAAGAGTTTTGAAATTTCTGTTGTTCTAATTAGCTAGAAAAAAGTACTAAATGGAAAAGGCCAGTACTTAAAAACATTACACAGAGACACTGCTGTTACACTTCACAGTTGCTGTTTGGTTATTGAACAAAATTGATTTCTCGTTATTCTACAGATTTGGAGACACTGGCAGAGAGTTAGGTTACACCAAGAAGCTAGTTAGCTTAGCACAAACACTGGAAACAGCTAGGCTGGCTATGTCTAAAGTTAACAAAAAAATCTCACTATGGAAGTGTAAAAATTACACATTGTGGTTTAACAGGGGGAGGGGGGGGTATGCCAGACTATTAATATTCATATCAAAGTAACAGTCTTGCACATAACCCCCACCCCATTAGCTTTAGAGGTGGCAGACTTTGGGTTATTGTTGAAACCTAGCCGTTTCTCAGTTTTCAGTCTTTGTGCTAAGATAAGATTGCGGGTGCAGCTTCATATTTACCGTATGGGTATGAGAGTGGTATTGATCTACTCATCTAACTCTCCACCAGAAGGAAGAGGATTTCCCAAAATATTTCTATTCCATTGATGACACATAGGACAGAACTGCGCAACCTACGGAAGAATGTATCCCAGTGTTTAATGTAATTGTAATGAGGGACTTCAAAGGTCTTTTTGTGTTTTGATGCTAAGCAGTCCATACCTTGAAGTAGAGTTGGGCAATATCATGGTATATACCATGAGGATATTAATTTACCATACCGTTTACACCATGGTGTTTAACAGTTTAATATCTTAGGGTGTATTAGGCCATTATAGGCCATGCTACAAATTATATGTTTTATGGAAATATTGGTTTTTAATGATTTTTGCATAACTGAAGTAACCTGATTTTTTTAGATTTTTGTTTTTCCTGGATGAGCCAAAAACATACATTGATTGTTTTGTCCATAAACAGTTTCTCTATAGATTGATTATATTACAATATTGACATTAAAATACAAAATTACATGTACCATGAAAGACGATTCTATCCATATCGTCCAAGGTTGTTCCAATGTTAACTCATCACCAATGAACACCAATGAATGGATGTGAGGGAGGCTGTGTTTTGTTTTATAAACAACAGTGTATGGATAAGGAGCGAATGACAGGGTGTCACATTAAAAATCAATGCCGGTGTGTTTCAGAATAAACATGCTTTTTTGTTGTTAAATGGATAGAAAATTTGGTTGCGCCAACTCCAAAGTAAGCAGAGCAGCAACTTGAAGAAACTCTGTCAAAGACAGCTGAGAAATGAGAGCACATAAAGAGTGAGGGAACCGTCTCAGTGACAGCACAGTGTGGAGGGAGGAGGGGAGGGACACATGGAAATCAGCAAAAAGCACACTGAAGGTTAGAAAGAAAACTACAGTCTTTATTGGAAAATATTAGTATGTGTGGCACTGTGTGATAATAGTAATAATAAGAGTAATATCTCCTATATAACCATAGTAATACCATGCAAATAAAGACCAAAGGCAAGGCCCGACCATGCTCTCTGTAGGGTTAACAGAACAGAAGCAGCATCCAATGAGTAGATGTGTATGCTTACAGCACATTTCAGTATAGCAGGGACATCTCTACACAAAGTTTACATTGGAATCTGCTGTTCAATGTGGAAAAACAAAAGTATAAAATGACCATGCATTAGGATCTAATACAAGAACATAAGGTAGAAAACCACAACCAAAGAATAAAAGACATTTTCATTCTAAAAGGAGATCTACAGCAGTGCAGGATATACACATCCCTGTAAAATGGATAGCATTCTGGAGGTGTCTGAGGAAAGACTTGAGAGGGGGCTGTGCATGACAGTGAATCAAAGAGGGGGGATTTTTTTTAAATGATAAAATTTAAGATTTAAAAGATGAGTAAGACCTGAGTCTCGCCAATTTATTGTGACTGACTAAATCGATTCAGCTAGCAGGAACAAAAGCTTTCACACATGGGTAGGATTATGACCAGCCGTTTGGACGCCACTGTAACAGGTGCAGTGAACCATCAAAAGGTGAAACTAACGTCCCACAAATGACTGATTTTAGTGCTACAGCTATTGGTCAATTGGTGAATGTTAGGGTTACAAGATTATTGGCATGATTTATAGAAGGTGATCATACAAGTGCTTTATTGATGACAAAAGCTGGTACAATGCACCTTTGCAAAATAGGGGATGGAGACGAAATTCGAAGAGTTCGATCAAGCCTGGCTGTAATCGAATCGGGGAGGATCAAAATGTATCCACTTTACAGAAATTTACAGCAGAATGTAGTCTATCCACACTGAATGGGAGAATCACAATGACATTCTGTAGTAAAGTCTAGTGCTACAATGGGTTATTCACTGAAGAGCAACATGACAGTTTAAATAAAGACAAACTGTTTTCTACAGAAGGTGTTATTCTTTAGTCTGTTACACAGAAGGATACGGTATGAGTGGGAACTCGGTTTTAATGCCAATGTCGTCTTCAGATGGAAAGAGGAAATGAGGAAGAAGGGGTTCACAATACAGCTAGATGCAGAGAACAGGCAGAGGCTACGGCAGACAGCAGCAGATGATCGTTAGCTACACAATGGAGGGGGACAAAGGTCTGAGAAATGCGGAATGTAGAGCCAGCCTCGATACTATGGAACAGGAAAAAAGAACACAAATAAAAGCACAATGAAATCATTGGTGCTACTGCATGTAGTTTTAACAATGCACGTCAAATTATTAAACTTACCACTATTATTATTACATAATCATCACAGAAAGCCTACTGCAATGGAGGATGATGTTAAATTATTCCCAATTCAGCGAGTGTGATTATTCATTATGATTTATGCTGTTCAGATTGTCCCTGCTGGAACATTTCTGCGGAGCAATTTGCAGGTTTCATTTGACGTTTTTTCATCGGACAAACATCTTTGAGGGTTTTAGGGCAAATGCCACCATTTTATAGCCCATTTACAACAGCCAGCCTGAGCCCCTTATCTGAGGTACGGCCATTACGCTACCTGTGTTTAATGGAATAACCTTTAATTGACACTGACTCGTAAATATCAGGGTAACATGAGCGCAGAAAATCAACAGACTCGATGCCAGCTGCGTACAAAGGGGCGCACTCCCCCATGTCATATTATCAGTAGTCAGCACTGACTCAGATTCAGCAGCTTGCTTGGAAAATTAATGACAAATACAGACAGAGCTGTGGACATTTTTAATTAAGGCTGAGCTAGTGAATGTGGCTGTATCAAGCTACTACCTACTAGTATTATTGAGTAACATTAGCTAGCGGTGACTGCACACGGTTGCTGCAAACGCACGTAAACACCGCGCAGTGAAAGATTAACCAGACCGCGTTAGCACAGCTAAGGATAAGAGAAAAGCGGCGCTGCCATTTGACAGCTGCGGTCATTTGGTGAGGGTTAACAGGCCCCTGAAACACCCTAACACAAATGTTCATGTCTCTAAATGTCTTCAGTCCGACTAAAGACGTTTTAACGGTCATGGTTTCGGCTACATTCACGCGTGCTACAGTTAACGTTAGCAAGACATCTACGCTAAACTGTCCAGATAGTGCTGCTTTGCTGCGTGTTTTTTGCTAGCAGGTGTCAGCTCTGTTTACATCGTTTCAGGGCATTTAAAAGACGGAATGCCGAGAAATTTGTTAGGGTTAGGTTGAAGAAATACATAGAGCTAGTCATACCTCTATTTCTAACTGAGCCGAAGACGGGCAGAACCAGATATCCAACATGTACTAACACCATCCTGGGTCCTTCTTTGTTGTGTGGGTAGCCAGTGAGACAGATGGTCCATGGAAATGATCCCCTTCAGTCCCCAGCACATTCAAACGGACAGGCTGCACTGCGTGCACACGCAGACCCGAGCAACCAATCACTGGACACCTCCGATCAGGACCCTCCGTCTTTGGTACCTTGCTCCACCAATGGGATGAGCGCCGGGGCGGGGATGTCTGTGTTTTGGACAGCCCGCCCCTCCATGACATCCACCAGCCCAGATAAGGTTCTCTAGTGGTGCTGGTTTCTTATCGAGGACCCTCAAATAGACATGAACCCAACCTGGTCAGATTTCATCCCAGCGAGATACATACCGTTTATTTAATATTTGTGGAAATTTACCCAGTAATCTGTAATATAGTATTCAGGTTTTTCTAATCCACTACAGAAGGGAATATTGTACTATTTACTCTACATTTGAACTACATTATTATCCAGCTATTGTACCTAAGTACATTGGTTTTACATATAAAACATATTTATATAATAGGATGCATTATTTAAGAATAAAGGGCCTGCAAACCCACACAGGTGTTTTAGTCTGGTTGATAAGACCTGTTCAGGTTGGACCTGTGCAAAGCTATGCAGGTATTTACATGAGATCACCATTCTCATATTCAGCAGTGGCATGTATCCTACCTCAGAAATAAGGGCCTGCTTTCTAAAGACATTCAAATATTACCCAATAGTAACATTTCAGCAACATTTTCTAATGACTGTTCTCACTGAGGAGTCCTAGCTGGGACAGATGATCCAGTAGGCCCCAAAAGAACAAACAATAAGATGAAACTATAATTTCATATTCTGTGGTGGAAAGTAACTAAGAGCTTACTCAAGTGCTGTACTCTAGTACAACTTTGAGGTACTTGTACTTTAATTTATCTTTCTTTATACATTTATTTACATTTATTTTACATACAAAACATATGATCAACTTATATAATATGATACATTATTTAAGTTTAAAGGCCCTGCACACCAACTCTGCAATGCTGGGGTTTACATGGGGTCACCAAACTCCATGTACTAATAAAAATTGAAAATTGAAAGTTTGAACTTGTCCAGCAACAAAGCTAAACAGGATTGCGAGGTAGGTGTTACCTGAGACCAGTCTGTGCATTCCCACACAGTCCTGTGAAAGACAAAAGTTACACCTCCTGTTGGGATGGACTGTGGGTGTCAAAACAATCAATAATAACAATCCGCTTATGTAATCTATTCAACACTCTGAAAGGGGCAGTTCAGCATAATGTGTTTTTACATGACGGTATTTTTGCTTTTACTCCAGAATACTCCGTTGATGTAGTTTTGCACTCCTATAACATTTTTTGACTCATGAGGGAGATTTCTTTTTTAAAAGGATCAAAATCAATGCAGCGTCAAAGCATTCCTTGTCAAAACCTGTGTGTAAAATCAGTGGAGTTCCCCTTTAAGTAAAAAAAATACTTCTCCCACCACCATAACTGTGTAACAAATGTCATCAGTTCAGACCTCTGTCCTAATTAGACTACTTTTCACAGCCCAAATTGGCACCCACATTTGAGGGAGACATTACAAGTAGAATCAATTCATTCATCAGACTTCAATTTAACTGCAAAGTAAAATCCTCACCAGTTTAATTTCTCCTCCCTAAGCTTGATGGTGAACATCTGACACTCCTTTTTAGTTGTAATATATGGACAAAGACTACAAAGCCTGTTTGTAATAGGAATCTTTTGAGTTGTTTTTAAGGAAAAGACATCAGATAAATTTTAATTACAGTTTAATAATTTCTTCACGTTGGGGCCTAGTGGAGTAGTTGTCTCAGCCAAGACCGCTGAGAAGTAATGTAGCTGAATAGTCTGCTACAGATCATTAAGTAATATTTGATTCTCATCATAATTCCTTTGAACAACAACAACAATCTCTCCCTATGTTGTACCATTTTCCTGCACAGCAGATATGCTGAAAACTGCCTGTGTCCTGAAAACCTCTTTGCCTTTAGTGTTAAGCCTGAAGGGTGAAGGAACAGATGGGCATGGGGAGGCTGGGGGTCACAAAACTCTTAGTCCCATATGTCCTCGTCTTCCAGTTCCCACCATCTAATGCTTTAAGCCTGTGGTGCCACACAAAGAGCCTTTCACTGTGTTTTACAATCAGTGCAGGTCAAACTACAGCAGTCAGTTCCCTTTACTCACAAATAACAGACCTTTGATATTTAACACTTTCAAACTATCCCTTTATACTACAAAACTGAATTCCTACTGCAATATTTGATTTTCTTGAAAATGTATTCCTTTCTGTCCTCACGTTCAAGAGTCACATTGCCTTCTATTTCAATGCAACAAATAATTTTAAGTTATTTTCATTATCAAATATTTTTCCAATGAATTGTTTAGTCTATGAAATGTAAAAAAATAGTGAAAAAGATGGCCATCACAACTTCCCAGAGCCTCCTTAAATGTCTTGTTCGACCAAAACCCAAAAATATTCAGTTTATAAGGATAGATGCCAAAGAAAAGAAGAAGCTGAGAAGTTTGAGCCAGAGAGTATTTGTTTTTTTCTCTATTGCTTAAAAAATGACTTAACTGATTAATTGTTTATCAAAATAGTTCATGTAGTAGTAATGTTCTCAGAGCTAAATATTTTACCTTTGCTCATTAGAGTTCTCCAATTCTCAACAGAAATATCAAGAGCCGTCATTAATGTTCAAGTTAAAGTCAGCTCAGTGAGTCATTTTGAATAAACCTGGAAATAGCCTGGAAAAGCACAACACCGAATCTAAACCTGTATCATTTAGACCAATAAGACATCTGCAAGAAGGATACTTATTTCTTGCTTTTGAGAGAGAGCCAGCAGACTCACTACTCGGAGGCCATCGCTGTAAAAAATTTGCATACAGCTGATGTTGTGCCCCGAGGGTAAAAAGAGCTGGCTAAAGGGCTTTGGTTTTAGGAAAAAAGGCCCCGCAGAGTGAATTGCTCCACTCCCTCATTGTCCTCTTCATGCGAACTCCATATGTCCCCCTAGCGGCAGGTGTCACTGTATGACCCGGCATGCCACTTCTGTGGGTGAGGGTGAAGTTTTATTGTTCTCAGCGAGGCAGTTGTCTAGACTGTTCAGCCACAAGATAAAAGAAAACAATGACACATTCTCATAAAGTATTGTACCTATGATGGTAGTTCTCTCACTCGTCCACACAAGAACATACTTGTGCAACACTTTTTGATACACAAGACTTTGAGCTTCAAATACATTTATCAGTGCGCTGCCTTTATTATTATATCTAGATTTGAGGGAGAACTTTTAAAAGTAGATATGAAGTAACATTGTTTGCTAAAGTGGTAGTTAAAGGTGTCTGTAAGGATGAAAAACATGTAACAAATGTTACTGTCTTCAGTTCATAGACTTTAGTCCCCATTAGACTATTTTTGACAACCATGTAGACATTGATTCATCAGACTGAAATGAAACAAAATCCTCAGCAGTTCAATTTTCCTTCCCTAAGCTTGACACTAGACATCCTAACAATCACAGCACACGTCCAGACTAAGGTGGACTGCTTGTTAACAGAATCAGGGAGAACAAAATAATGTACTGTACAAGAGGATCATTAAATAACGCTCTATTTATTTAGTTTTAAAATAGTTTCTTTTTGTTCTACAGACGTAATTTCAAGGTTGTCAAGGACTTGCAGAAGCAACAAAATAAACACTTTTTTTTGTTAATTTAAAATACTGACAGTAAAATAAAACAAAAATAACAGAAGAGCAAGGCTAAATTACAGGTAATGAGGATAATATCTGACATGAGGTTAAAGATGTGACCAAACATGCTATGTGTAACCATAATAGAGCATCACTGCCCTAATTTTCTACCAAACCTCTATCACTACAGACATGATTCTTACTAACATTTCATAATAATCCTAAGGAACAATGGCAAAATGGATTTTGCAAGCAGAAGTGGTCTGGTAAAATAACAGCCATTACAGTGAAAGCTGCATATATTGTATCTTGAGTTTGAAACAGAATTCATGTCATCTTATTTCACAACAAATACACTTACTTTCAAATGAAACGATTTATACTAGCAAAAATTCATAACGGGAAAGAAAAACTGAAAACAAATTTCATTTAGACTTTGGTTTAGTTCCTTATATTTAGGATTTTCCCTTCCCTTCTGTGACCAGCAGAAGTAAAATAATTTGATTCCACAATTCTCAAGAATCACTTTGTAAAGTAGGTGTAATTCAATATGCAATAAAAACAATGTGTGAGGTTGGATGATGATAAAAATTTACCAGCGTAGCTGCAGTACTGCATGAAGACAAAAATAAGACCACAGGGAAAGAGAGCAAGCGGGCCCTGATGTTCAGGGTAAAAACAGTTCATACAGTAAAAGTCTCTTCTATAAACGCCCCACACAAGGGCACAAACTCAACACCACTTTTATTTGTTTTATGTGTGCTAAATTCACATCTATTATTAAAATATTTATTGTTGAGATAGCAAAATCCACTGCTTTGTAAGATAAAAGAATAAGCTTTATACGATTCAAAAAGAAAATAGTGCACATTTCAAGGCATTCAGGCCATCTTGCTTTGCAGTATTCAGTGGAAAATACATTTCCTCAGTTGTTATAAAGGGGTCCCCAGAGGTTTAAAGGTCTTTGCATTCACTCAGGATAAGCATGCAAACAATAAGTGCACCCAGTCAGCACTGCAGGGTCATACATTCACTGATAACTACGTCACCTGGGACACTCGTAAACTCTGTGGCTTCCAACATAAAACATGTCTCAAAACACGTTCCATATATTTCTAGTGCCAATACACCTTCACCAGAATAGTGTTGTGGTGGAAATGAGTTGTATTTCGTAGTGCGTTTGTAACAAGTGCGTTTGTATTTTCCCTCAGAATTGTGTTAACCAGTGGCTTTCTGTTTGTTTTCATTAGAAAAGGTCAAACTTATAGTAATATGGTAATAACAGAAACAAAAGCTCTGAACTTAAATGAAAAGATATTTTGGGAAATATACTTAATTGCTTTCTGGTGTAGCGTTTACGCTAGAGAAGATTGATACCACTCTTATGTCTATCCTGCAGCTGGCAGCAGGTAAGCTTAACTCTGTACAAACACTGGAGACAGGAATAAAAGTTAACTCTGTCCAAACTATTTCTAGACAACCAGTGGATACTCTGGGAAGTAAATGTGCCTGGCCAAGAAATAGTTCGGCACTCAATATGTCAACTATTCATCTTAAATTAATTAGATAAACGAAACCTCTCTTTGAAAGCACCGGAGTATAGGCGGTACCTATGCTGGACAGAGTGTAGTAAAGCAAAGCTTTCAATCCAAATGGAAATAAATGTGAAACCAGTGGTGAAACCTTTGAACAAAATTGACCCTAGACAGGTCCAAAGCAAACTTTGCAATCAATCTATGGTCTACTTGTACAACAGTATGTGATACCAGTTGCCATTTTTGTTTTGACCGCAAGTTAGCGCAGATAAAAATGCTGAAAATATGCCGTTTAGAGTCTGTAGTGAAGAAGGTCAACGGCCATGTTGTGGTACTGACCTGCTCTCAAGCAGCAACTTGAAATTTTCACTATACAGCTTGCAAGAAGTACACAAAATGACTACCTACATCCATTATCAATGGGTAACTGAGGTATTAAATTAAGGTAGGATATTGCTATCATTAACAGATAAATCACTCTTACATACATTTCCACCTGCACTTGAAGTGCTGTGCCATTTTATTACAACTAAATTCAGAGCTGACCAGGGAATCACGTCAGTAGAATGGCTTTGATACATATGATTGTTTAACAGTAAGTTAAAAACAGACAGTGCTCTGGAGCAGGAAGAGTCCACGAGCGGTTACAGGTGAGGCCGCAACTATAGGAAGGATTTCAGCTGTAACATGGAGGCAAGGCAAGAGGGATGAGGAGGAGTGAGAGGAAGAAATAAGGAGTCTTCAGTGTACAAGTTGATTAAAGTAGGTATTTGTGTCCGGCGTCCTCGTCGAGTGTGAGATCCACCACTTCAGGAGGGGACACCCAGTTGGGCTGAGGGGAAACAGTAGTCCAGAGCTGTGGTTGATTTGTGCTGTTTAACTGCTCCACTGAGTTTTCTTTCCAGGAGGACAGACTCTTTATCACCCCTCCGCAAGGGTGGGCGCATCTGGATTTAGAAACAAAGCAAATGTAAAAAGTTTAATTCATTTATAAGACCAAACAAAAGTCAGTTTAAAAAAAAAAATGTACCACTAGAAAGTCTTTACCGTGCTTTCTCTTGCACGCCTACTATTTCCACCTCGCTGTCAGAGGAAGCAATGTTAATCTGGCCCTTGTTGTGTTGAGAACTTCCCTTGTGCGACAGCTCTGCCTCCACGTGGCCTGAAACAATAAGAGGAACAGAGTCACACATTGTGGGGAGGACCAGAGTTGTAGAGAGCTTCAGGCCTTGCTGACACATACAGACTGCAGCTGCTTTGACACAAGAAGAACAAAACAATGATAAAACACTTGTGTTTGTGTGACACATTGGACAAAACATCCAGAGTGGACTTTATATTCGTGTTTTGACAATACCAGCTAGTCAGTCATAAAAGGTCAATTCCTGTCTTGAAGCAAGGCAGCGGGACTTTTTTTATAGCACCAAATGCAAGCCAGTGGTGTGTGGGATGAAGGCAATACTACTTCAAAGGCATCCTGCTGACATTAATAAGACCCCCCCCCCCACTCACACACACACAGCACGCTGCTTATTGATGACACTCGTGCCTCTAAATGTCCCGTCTTCACTGAGAGGAGTGGAAATTATCAGTTTGGATTCAGCGGGTTTGTAACTGACCTGAGATAGAGCTCAGAGCTCTTATACACCCAGAGTGAGCTGCCATATCCTGGCCTCTGTGTGTTTTTAGCTCATGCTTTATCACCGTGGGCCGGACTGTCTCCACACTCATACTCTCCTGGTTAGAATCAGTGTCTGAAATATCATAGTGACCCACTACTGGAAGCCCGTCTGCAGAAAACAAAGAAAACACTTCATTATTCAAATCATGCCTGGGAATAGGAGGATTGTTTGGAACAGAGACTGGACACTGCATCCAAATACCTGCTAACTGCAGCATCTACACAATAAATGTACACCCTATTTTCTCCAGATGCAAAGGTTTACACCAAGATTGAACATTTTGGCTCATTGAATTTGACAGCACTAGTCTGACCTCTGAATAAGGTTATCACCACCTTTCAAAGCTACACTACAGAGGCTTTTATACTATAAGAATCATTGTGTTTGCAGTGTAATAAAAAAAAAACATTTTGCAGCAATAGCTTTTTTTTCCTTTTTCTTTCCATTTATTGCTTTTAAAATAACAGCCATTCACATAAAAACTACACTAGAATACAGTCGTTACAAAACACTTCAAAATGATCTTACTCTGTGAATGAAATGTAGTGGGAATATAAAAGCCAAACAACGGAATAACTGTGGAAGAGCGGAAACATGCGTCTTTGTTCTACCCTGTAAAAAGGAGAAACACACACACACAGACTTGTCCGGTGGGTGGGTGGGTGGGTGTGTGTGTGTGTGTGGGGGGGGGTTGTCAGGACAGCATGTACTATGAGAGAGCACTGCCTATGAATAGCTGAAATAGGCAGGTACCAGGGTTACCAGAGAAACTGAGGACTTGCCAATGTAAAGGCAATGTATTAAAGATAGAAAAAGGACTAATGTAAACCAGGAGTGTCTCTTTGGTAAACAATGGACTGTCCTTAGTGTTGTTTCTAATGCACACAGTTTGGGATTGTATGCACAAGGCTCTCTTTACCATGTTGGTAAAACAGCTGATTTAAAAGGTAAAGGTAATTTCAGTTTTAACAAATGCAGGACAGCAGTTGTTGGATCCATTTAAAACCAAATGGCCGAAAAAAAGAAAAAGAAATTATGCGCTATGAAACAAAAACACCAATAAATCACACAATTTGAAACAAAACCATTAGGCCAAGAGGAAATAACTAAATAGATCAAATGTTCCATCAGTCACCATTTATCTGCACAAGCAAAGCTACACCTTGCACACATGCTGCTGATGAAAACTAATTTGGCCTTGCGCTCCCTATATACTACTAGAATCACATGCAAACAGGTGGGGAAACAATGCTTCCGGCATTCAGTTTTGGAAAACCGACAGTTATAGGGCTACATATACACATACAGAAAATGTAACACTTTTTTTTTTTTTTTTTAAACACATCCTAACTATAAATATGATTAGGCCAAAGATTCCTTCATCAATGCCTGTGATGGTTAGATAGTGTTTAGCAGTGTTAAGAACTGTGACACCATGGTCATCTACATCAGTAAAAAGTAGTTTGAGAAGAGGGTTGAGGAGTGTTTCCACCTCAAAGACCACAGGATCTGAACCAGAGAAGGCCACTTGATCACTTGGATCAGTCAGTTTTTAGGAGGTCGGTAAACATTGCCATGCACCATACTGCAGCTGTATTACTGCTGTATATTTGAGAGTTTGATGCCTGGGTTTTCAGTTTAAAGTCAAGCTGCGTAACAAACACACTTCCATGTGGAGACATAGGCCAAGCTGGCAGAGCAGTGCAAATAAAAATGAACTAGGCGAATATTACGAGTGAAGATTTGAGGCTCTTGACATTGCAGCTAATGGCCACAACAAAGGAACCCATGCCTTATCCGATGTCTATAATCTATACATAGGCTACTAAAAATAAACACTGGGAGTCAATCCTCCCTCACTAGTTTCTTGTTACTGCACAAAGGCAGTGATAGCAGCAAATGTAACAGAAAGGTAAACATAAAAAAATAAAATAAAAACTTATTACGTAATAGGATTTTAGAAAGCAAGAAATTGTGTAGGTTAGTATATGGTGTTTATATTTATAGGCAAATATGTTTAAATGTTTTGATGTTAGTAAAGCTATGCCACCAAAATACTTTTAAAAAGACCTGAACCAATCACAGGTGCAAATAGTTCAGGGGAAAGAAGGGTAATGCAGAATGCTGAACCTAATGTCTAAAGAAACAGTACTATGATGCTCTATCTATCATTCCCAGCATGAAGTCAGAATGACAAGGCACATGCTATTAAGCAGCAGCACCCCACCTTGCTCTGTCATGACGGCTGCCCAGGTGCTGTAATGCACCTTCTGTATGAACGACATAATCAGCTACTCTGTTTATGTGTGTGTACAGCCGGTCAACATAACAAACAAGCCATACAATAAGCAATACAATAAGAGCCCTGACTCAACCGTCTAAACCGTGTCCGTGTCACAGATGATGCAGAAATCAAACAGGTGAGTTGAATTATTCAGAATGTCAAATCTCACAGTGATTCAGTGCCAGCAGATGCACCGGGCCTCAGGTCTGCTCAGAGTCAAGTTCAAATGACAAGATCAGGCCCAGCTGCTGTTGATGGTGTTTCTGTTTAGTGACCTCACATCATTTACTTATTAATACCCAATGCCATGCTTTCTGCATCAACTAGTTCTACACTTGGTAGGATCAAAGTATGAAACAGCGAGGAGTAAAAGTAGAAGTGTAATCTAAACATTCAAGAGACCAGGGTCTGGAACACCTAGATTTCCATTCTGAGTGACCACTTCAGGTAGGATGTTGTTGTTATTTATGGGGGTGGGGGTGAGAGTGTTGCTCTCTCGTGCCAACATATAGGCAGCCATAGTCTCTGCAGACTCTGACGATGGCAAATAAGAACTGGGTGGGGAAGGCCGTGCCCCCTGGGAGGGATGCTGCTGCCCCTCTAGGGCATCACTTGAGCGTTTGGACGAGTCGTTGTCCGAGTCGAGGTGTGCAAGCTTTTCCATCCAGATGCGGAAGCGCTCCTCAGTCTGGCGCTGCATCACAGCAAAGCGCGTCATGGCCTCCTCCAGAACACTGCCGATGCCGTTCCTGTCCCACGAACCGGTGTCCAGCAGCCCATGAATGTGGGCGCCCACTCTGGATCTCTCCGATGCACGTCTGAAGCCAGCTTTAAAGACATTGAGGCCAAGCCATAAGAAAATACAGTAGCACGTTCATGCTTCGGAGGTGGACTTTTGTATTAAAAGAGAAAATGAGTTTGCTTTTGGTTACGTGCAGATCGACTCTTTCATGCTGATGGACTACATCATGCAGTTGTAGCACTCAAATCTGTGTTCGGGATGTAAAAATGGTTGAAAACATTTCATGTAGTACAGATCCCTAAAGTAAGATAACTGGATGTCTTACACAACTGATTCAGAGATTGTGGTTCGGAAAATGTGTTAACTAGATACTGACGTAAACACACCGATTTAAGGCAAATTTATTACAAACCGTTGATGAAGGGCAAGAGACATGTCCAACTATATTTTCTAAAATAACTTCAGACATCTTAGTAAAATTTGCTACAGGGCTGGTATCAGCAAATACCTTGTAAAATACCTCTAATGTGCTTCTGAAATATAATGTAAGTTTAGATAAACTTGTTCCACTCTGGAAACAAACTAACAATAATTTATTAAACAAAGACCATGACACACCGGGATAAATTCTCGATTTAATGGAAAAGAAAAACTGCCTACCAGAACCAGTCCAATAGAAATATATTCTAAGAAATGCTATCACAGTGAAAAGATCATTAACGACTTCACCTCCAACAGCAGCAGCAGGCAGTGGGTTGGTAAATATCACCCTGCTAGTAGCTAGCCTATTTATGGAGAACTCAACTCACCCACGAGATTTCTACAATCATCAGGAAACATTAGATTAATGGAAGGAACAAACACAGGACCAATGTGCAGACAATCCTCTCACTTTGGGCTGCACGATTTGAATAAAAAGCCATTTTGCGATTATTGTGGACAATATTGCGATTTTGATTATAATGGAAGAAATGGTACTATGAGTCTACTTCCTTAATTATCAAAGAAAATGCACAAAACACTGATATTTTTAAATGTGTAATTCTCAACTTGAACAAAACGATAAATATTTATAACATTAACTGTCAAAACAGATGTAAAACGCAACAAGGAGCGCGTTGTTCTATGGAGGAGTAGCCTAGAAAGAGCAAATATTGGCACATTGGCATCCTGGCTCTGGCTAAATTTACATCTGTCCACTGCAGAGACACTATCCACAACCTGAAGGAGGAACTAGTATACATCGGTGTAGTAGTATAATATTATAACATTAAATAAAGAGTATAATGTCAGTTAATTGTATGCTGTGAATATAACAATTAATTACTATATTCATTATAATTTCATACAATAGTAAATTATTTTACCTCTGGTTGAATATTAAATCTAGTTACACCCATTTCATTTCTGTGGGTTATTTTTATTCATTAAATCCTTGTGCAAGCAAACGGCTCTATATTGGTCTCTAATTTGTTAATGCTGAACACTAACTTGTCAGTAATCATTTTGTTCAACATTTGGCATTTTTTTATAATGTCCCGCCCCATTCAGGCTGCGATTGGTCAGCTGACAAAAAGTTACACTGTCAAGCACATCGGCTTTATGAAAAGTTGAACACGTTGAACAACAAAAGGCAGCTAACGTTAAACGGCCAGCAAGCCAAACCCAAACCTTCCTCATCTTCTAACGACTTCAACTGCTGTCGACATCTCTCTATCTCTGTCACCGGAGCACCGGCATTACTTTCGGTGCTCCGGTGGCGAGTCTGACTATGTTGTGAACGATTATCGGCGGAGAGGGGGGTTACAGTAGGTTGGTTTCTTAAAAATTTACTCGCACACTACTCATAAATCACTTTTCTGATTGCACGTAGGCTTATCTGTTTTTAGACGCACATGCGAGAGCCCAGTGGGGGCGTGGATAATGAGCAGACTGCAGCGCAGAGCGTCACACACACCTTTTCTGTTTTATTAAATCGCACCCTTTTTGCGGTTATGTAATCGCACATGACGCAATTGCGATTAGATTAATCGTGCAGCCCTACCACTGTTTGTCTGCTTGTTTATTTTTATTACACACTTCTGTGCCTGAGTTCACAGCATACAGACCTCCTCAGTCAGAGCTACATATCCATCAATACTCGCTAGTCGATGACCAGAGCTATCTGACAAATCAAAATGTGCTACAGAACCCATTATAGAGAAGAGAACCACCTGTTAGTCTAAAAAGCTTCACCGCCCCCTGTGTAGGCAGAGTCAAGTGTATGAAAGACAATTCAAAACCTGCAAGCGAGACAGAGCAGCAGGATAAACTAAATGCCTTGCAGTCTTCGTGTGATGCCGACATTCACTAAACCCCTCTCAATAGAAAAGATAAATGTTTTAAATTGACTTTCGAGCAATCTAATTAAATGGCACATTAAATATGATTTCATGTCTAAATTCTCAAGTATAAGACAGTTTTGTTTTTTTTAACCAGCAAACCAATGCTGAACAGTAACTGCAGAGTCTTGCAACTCCGACTAACACAGTGAGATTTGTCTATTTACAGCAAAGGCTGAGGATATAAATGGCTTACTTGATGAATAGCAGAACTCTATAACATACGTTAGAATAACAAAACTCAGTTTATATTATTCTATGAGTTGAAGAATGTCCACTAGACTTCCACAGCATGCAAACAATGAGACAAAGTTCAAATAAAACATATTGTACTACATCATGACTGGCCATAGACCCTTCTAAACATACAGTCTAAGTATCTAAAGACAATGGTGAATGAAGGCAGATGAGTGAAAAAATAACAACAAAAAGAAAGTGAAAGATAAAAAAAATGCAAATAAAAAAAGTACATGAACTGATCTGTTCTATGCCCTATCACATGCTCTTACTTTATATCTGGCAAAATAAACATTTGGTTTGGGTTTGCCTGGAAATTTAAAGTCATGCAGGCAACCTATTATTGGTAAACTGTGTTTAACTGATGGCTAATCATCTTTGATTTTCATGAACTGTAGGCCTATACGTTTTCTATTACTATGTGATACAGTGTTTTACATATCTAAGTGGCTGCTACTGTTACCCTGGACAGTGGCAGTAGTACTGTGCTATAAGCATGTGTAGTGAACATTGGGTGTTACCTGAAATATCTGTCTTGATTGTCTTGCTACCTCCTGAAGTGTCATCATCGTCATCCTCAGAGGAGCTGGTGCTGGAGTCACATGTGAGCTCGCTGTCACTTGTACTGCTGTCCTGCAGCAGGTTATACTTCTTCCGTGCTGCTGCTTCTCGTTTTTGCCTCAGCAAACGCATTCGCTCCTTATGTTTTTGGCTCCGGTGACCTTTCACTTTTGCCATCTTGCCATTGGTTTGTTTTTCCTGCCCTCCGGCGGCTACCATGGTGGGCTGGCAGCGGTTTTTCTTTGCAACCATCGCATTAGGAGGCATCTCGCTCTCTGAACGTGAACGCCGAGACTTCCTCCCCCCTGTGGCTGGGGCAGATGTTTGCCTTCCTGCTGCCTGCCCAGGATCATTTGTAGCTTCCATGTTGCCCTCTGCTCCTACGGGAGGAGCAGCACCTTCTTCCCCTGAGGAGAGTGTGTCTGAGTCAGCAAGGTGGCCACTGGAAGAGGGGGAGAGCATGCAGGGGTTTGAGGAGTCACTCTCGTAGATATGATGAGATACGGGCTTGTCACTCCCTGTAGAAGCATGCTGGGACTCTGGGGAGTCTCGGCGGAGCTCCTTCATCAAACATGGCATGGAGAGGAGACTCTGCTCACCCTCTGTATGGAAGGGGCTGTCTGCCTCCTTTTCCCTCGGTGGTGAACTGGTACTAGTGGTAGTCTCTGTTTTCAGAAGCTCATCCTGCTCTCCCTGAACAGAAGCAGTGGCTGATTGTGCTTCATCGAGGCACTCTAAGGGGCACTCAGCATCCACAAATTCCTCTGCCTTCTCTGAATCAGCCATCTTCATGCTAATTAAGCCCAGAGCCCAAAGGTCCAACAAACATGGACCAATGTGCCTGGACAGTAGCTCACCTGCTGGAAGAAAAAACACAACACTAATTCCATAATATCTTTTTTCTTCTTTTACTAGGCACATTTTTCTTGCAGTAAGTAATTGTTCTTAAAAATTTACAAATACAATGTGTAGAATGTATTGCTGCAAATTATTAACAATAAACCACGGAGTTAGCATCAAATGCAAGGTTTTTACCATTACTTATGTTTCTCATTTAGCAATATTTAAGCGCACTATTACATATAACGTTAGTGGACATTTCTTCTTAAACATGTAACGTTAACTTAGCTATCCACTTCAACTACATTGCAAAACAATTGTCGCATAAAAACACTCATTTTAAACTTATTTTTCACTGGCTCAACCTGTTGCATAACTACTGATTGTCCAAATATCAAAAACAACCTCTTTAAATTGTGTGCAACAATTTTGCAAGAACTTTGAAATGACGATGTAACTGGTGTTCAGTTTGGGTAGCTTGTAAGAGCAATGAACATTAAGTTACGTTTACATAGATGTTTATTCTACGTTTACGTCTCACGCAGCCTACGAATGATATCATGAAAGTCTAGTATACCTCATCAGCCATATTTAACTAAGTGTGTGTACTTGTCTTGGTGACTTAAATAATGACTTTAGTTGGTGGTGTCTGTAGCTAGCTTAGGCTAACGCAGGCTCTAGGATCTAGACGCTACTTTTAGCTGCGTAGTGAAGCTAACCTCGGTCATAACCTTACACTCTGCAAACTTGGCGAGAAGAAAAGTCATGGAAAACGTTCAGGTTGCAGGACAGCTGCCTCGCACGACCCTATAAATGGAAACAGTATCTAGCCGCCCAGAGGCGTAACGAGCAGGATAATGCCAGCAGCTAACAGCTAACGCTATCTCAGTCAATGCGATAGCCAACTTAGCATTTTAAATCGGCTGCGCTAGTTGCAACTTACCGCGGCGTTAGTTATATTCTTCTTTTCCCAGTGTCAGACTTTTCCACATCTTCATTAATTTGTAGCCTCTTTGATTTGCGACACACAAACAATGCACTGCTAAAATATACTTAACTCCTTTACAATTTGGACGAATTTGAACGTGTTTTGGCGCAGTGTGATCGCACCTTCGCGAACCCTGTTAGCAGCTAGCTATGTGTTTATTTTAAAATGTCTTCATCGGCCGTCAGTCTTTCACAAAGCTACGTGCGCCACTTCCGGGCCTTTTCTCGTGGTCGAGCACCCCTGTTGGTCAGATATTATTACTACAGGCTGGGAAAATACCGCAGGACAAACAGCAGAGAGAGAGAGAGAGACAGAGTAATCAGTGGTGTATTCCTAATAGTTCTGACTCAGGAGTCACCACAATTTCCCTCACATTACAGTAATAGAGGAGTGTGTGAGGGTATGTGACTGGCTAGTGGTGGAAAGTAACTAAGTACATTTACCCAACGAAGGTTAAAATCAAGGGCAACTGGACTTGGTTGAAGATACTGGAAGACGTTTCGTCCCTCATCCAAAGGACTTCTTCAGTTCTGACTGACTGGCAGGGAAACTCAGCTATTTAACCTCAGTGGGGTCATTTGCCAGGGTCATCGATACCGCTGGTTCTTTAGTGTTCCTTGTTGCTGTGACGACAGTCGTTACAGTCGTTAAGACTACCTGTGGCCAAGACTGAACGACCATCGTATCTTCACCTGAGGCCAATAGGTTACGTTTGTTGAGTTTCCTGGGAAGTGACAGGAAACTCAACAAATGTAACCGTATCGATGACCTGGGCCAACGACCCCACTGAGGTTAAATAGCTGAGTTTCCCTGCCAGTCAGTCAGAACTGAAGAAGTCCTTTGGATGAGGGACGAAACGTCTTCCAGTATCTTCAACCAAGTCCAGTTGCCCTTGATTTTAACCTTCGTTGGATAACTATGACCTGGATGACTGAGAATCTTCATAGACATAAGTACATTTACTTACGTGAAGTAGCCTATTTAACAACAACTGTGAGTTACAGAGTATTTCAGTTGTATCCTACTGTATAGTGTATTTCTACCCCACTATATTTCAGAGGAAAATATTGTACTTTTTATATTTATATAACAGATTTATTATATAAAGTACACATTGTTTACTCACGTTCAGACTAGAAGGTGAGTAATTATAATTGCTATACATGTCAGAGGTCACACGCCTCTGGAGCAACTAGGGGTTAAGAGTCTTGCTCAGGGACACAATGGTGAATGTGTCAGAGTGGGGGATTGAACCCAGGTCTCTCACACCAAAGGCCCTGCTGTCAGTACTTCTGAACTTTTATTTAAGTACTGTAGTAAGAGTAAAGTTTTGAATGCAGGACCTGTAACCAAGTATGTTTATGTTGTAGTATTGCTACTTTTACTTAGAATATAGTACTGATCCTACAGTATGTCATGGTCAGATTAACCTGGTAGGGGGCTCTGTGGCAAAAATGAGCCACTGGGTCCCATTGTGCAATGTTGCAATTCATCAAACTATCACAAAACAGCAAAACACACAGGGAATCGGCCCACACATTTTTGGTGTGACTTCTGTTGAATCTCTATTATTGAAAGTCTTATTAATGTAACCTGCGATATGAGCAAAATATTGTATTAGCACTTTTTCCTGCATAGTAATGCATCTGCTGCTTTTTATTTGTCATTTATTATTTACTATTTATTAATACAATTATGACCCATCCGGCCTTCGACAATATTACGCACCATACGGTTTTTTCAACATAAAACAAAAATAAAAAACAAAAAAATAAAGAAAAGGTAATTTATTTTGAATTACTTCCGGGTCACTATGACCTTTCTACAAATTGGTTACCGTGTCCGCCATCCTTCTCTCCCCGCTCCGGAGCAGGATAGACTCGGCAGGACACCAACATGTTGTCAGTACGCGTTGCAGCGGCCCTTGCCCGCAATCTCCCCCGACGGGCTGGATTTGTAAGCAACTCTACCTCCTTTGTGTTTCGATTTGTGTCAACTTTCTTCAGAGAAATCCCGACTGTATTCAGTGTAGAAACCAAGGCGGTGTTGTGCATGCACACGTCTTTACACCGGAGGACACCGGGCCCTTCACATTGCTAGTTCCTTCTGTTAACATTAGTAGCTGACAGACTTCAACAAGCCGCCCTTCTGCTAGTACAGTGACGTTACATTATTAAGGATGACTGGACGAGAAAATTAATCTCTTAGCTGTGTGTTATGGTGTTAATGCATTGTCATTGGATATGATTAATCAAACGTGCCGTAATGACGAATGTGTTTTGGTAATGAAGGTCAGCTTTGTCTGACTTCGCATGCTAGTTTCACTGCAAAAAGCATTTGCTATGCTAAGCTTTGTAAAACTGTTTATGTATAGGGGAGGCGTATATAAATACTTTTCTGTCTGGATATTATACTTCCTGGCTAGTATTGGTGACGACTCTCCTGTGACTCTGCAGACTGCATGACCTGGAGCCCTTCTCAAATGTTTTAATATATTAGAAGAATACACAAGTTAAGAAATAATAATAGTAGAAATACTCATGTCTAATTTAGATTTTAGCTACTAATAGTCATTTAGAATTGTATTTGAGTGGAAATGGCTCATATAATTTATTTGGGTTTAGTCCTAGCTTGTGCCTCTCATGCACTAACTTTACATGAGTCACAGAGATAAGCATAACTGTTTGTCTGAAAAATTAATACCTGGTGGTGTTTGTAAAAAAAAAAAACATGAAGTCATTTAACAACACATATAGCGGTGTTTCCAAACTCCTCAAAGACTCTTCTAACAATTTGGATGAAAGAATAGTTTGTCTGCTGACATACTGTGTTCTCTTTGTAAGAAAGATATTGCACCTTTTTTTTTTTTTTTGTATACAGACAAATATAACTGATAATAACATTTTTATATTATGGGGGAGGATGGCGCAGTGGCTAAGACACATACCTTTGTCCACCACTGTGACATGACATGTAACCCCTAGTTTCTCCAAAGGCATGCGACCTCTCGCGTGTATACAGTGAGGAAAATAAGTATTTGAACACCCTGCTATTCTGCAAGTTCTCCCACTTAGAAATCATGGAGGGGTCTGAAATTGTCATCGTAGGTGCATGTCCACTGTGAGAGACATAATCTAAAAAAATATATATCCAGAAATCACAATGTATGATTTTTTAACTATTTATTTGTATGATACAGCTGCAAATAAGTATTTGAACACCTGTCTATCAGCTAGAATTCTGACTCTCAAAGACCTGTTAGTCTGCCTTCAAAATGTCCACCTCCACTCCATTTATTATCCTAAATTAGATGCACCTGTTTGAGGTTGTTAGCTGCATAAAGACACCTGTCTACCCCATACAATCAGTAAGAATCCAACTACTAACATGGCCAAGACCAAAGAGCTGTCCAAAGACACTAGAGACAAAATAGACCTCCACAAGGCTGGAAAGGGCTACGGGGAAATTGCCAAGCAGCTTGGTGAAAAAAGGAGCAATCATTAGAAAATGGAAGAAGCTAAACATGACTGTCAATCTCCCTCGGACTGGAGCTCCATGCAAGATCTCACCTTGTGGGGTCTCAATGATCCTAAGAAAGGTGAGAAATCAGCCCAGAACTACACGGGAGGAGCTGGTCAATGACCTGAAAAGAGCTGGGACCACCGTTTCCAAGGTTACTGTTGGTAATACACTAAGACGTCATGGTTTGAAATGCATGGCACGGAAGGTTCCCCCGCTTAAACCAGCACATGTCAAGGCCCGTCTTCAGTTTGCCAATGACCATTTGGATGATCCAGAGGAGTCATGGGAGAAAGTCATGTGGTCAGATGAGACCAAAATAGAACTTTTTGGTCATAATTCCACTAACTGTGTTTGGAGGAAGAAGAATGATGAGTACCATCCCAAGAACACCATCCCTACTGTGAAGCATGGGGGTGGTAGCAACATGCTTTGGGGGTGTTTTTCTGCACATGGGACAGGGCGACTGCACTGTATTAAGGAGAGGATGACCGGGGCCATGTATTGCGAGATTTTGGGGAACAACCTCCTTCCCTCAGTTAGAGCATTGAAGATGGGTCGAGGCTGGGTCTTCCAACATGACAATGACCCGAAGCACACAGCCAGGATAACCAAGGAGTGGCTCTGTAAGAAGCATATCAAGGTTCTGGCGTGGCCTAGCCAGTCTCCAGACCTAAACCCAATAGAGAATCTTTGGAGGGAGCTCAAACTCCGTGTTTCTCAGCGACAGCCCAGAAACCTGACTGATCTAGAGAAGATCTGTGTGGAGGAGTGGGCCAAAATCCCTCCTGCAGTGTGTGCAAACCTGGTGAAAAACTACAGGAAACGTTTGACCTCTGTAATTGCAAACAAAGGCTACTGTACCAAATATTAACATTGATTTTCTCAGGTGTTCAAATACTTATTTGCAGCTGTATCATACAAATAGTTAAAAAATCATACATTGTGATTTCTGGATATATATTTTTTTAGATTATGTCTCTCACAGTGGACATGCACCTACGATGACAATTTCAGACCCCTCCATGATTTCTAAGTGGGAGAACTTGCAGAATAGCAGGGTGTTCAAATACTTATTTTCCTCACTGTAGCAATTGTAAGTTGCTTTGGATAAAAACGCCAGCCAAATGTTATTATTAAGTTAATGTCATAAGACACAGAGTCTCATCTTGGGGGTGGAGTTTAAAAATACCTTTTGTGCTGTCAGTGGTAAGGGTTGTTAAAGTTATTTGAAATTGACAAAATATTACAACCTTCTTTTAGTAGCGCCAACTTCAGCCTCTAAATGACCATAAAGTTGAATTAACATGTCTAAAACAAAAAACTGAACATTATAACCTTCATGAATGGAAGAGTGACTGCCGGGCTGTTGCACTAGACTGCATTAGTTTTAACTTGGTGTACCTCATGAATTGGCAACTGATTTTATATTGGAATTAGGTCATTTAAATAAGTGAATTAAATAGAAAACACTGCACTTATTTGGTCTGAATAAAACTGATCTCTTTATTTGTTCCTATTGTCCTAAAGGTATCCAAGAACGTTGCTGCAGCATGTGTAGGAGCCAAGGATCTACACACCGCCAGCCCATGGCTACAGAAAACGGGTCGGTATTTCCTGAAACTTGTATAGGGCTACTGCTTAAGAAAATTAATTAATTTGTAAC